TAAATGAAGAGTTATTTAAAACAAATTACTTAGTAATACATCTCCTTTTAATTTTATTGAAATATGTACGAAATAATACTGAACTTAGTTGATAGCGCCTTCTAGTGTATTTTTCAGTAATTTATCATCTCAACGCCATCTATAAGAGAGCAGAAGACACTTCCCTCGTTTCGCCACCTAATAATTTCTCAGGTGGCTCATCTATGCCCTATATTATATAGTATATTATCTATGTCCGAGGATTGAGATGGAATGCCCCTTTAGCAGCAGTAAAAAAAGGTCCGCATACGCCGCAACTTGTCAATAATTGTTTTCAACGTCGACGCACAACAAAACCTGTTATTAAACTGGTTTAGCGTGATCTAACTTATTATAACAAAAAACAATATTTAATTCGTTGACGAGGTCTATACAATTTTGCTTGCGGAATATTAATATACGTGGTAGAGCCATGCTGCAGCTATATTATGGTTAGCACGAATGGGTCGGCTCGACCGGGGAAGGACCACGCTCTCACAGAAAACCAGCGTAAAATAGCAGCTTAACGCTGCTGTGTTTCGTTTGGTGTGTGTAGAGAACCGGAGACCCTTTTTACTGGAGACGAGGCATTCCATCTTAGTCCTCACGGGTGACAACGCATCTGCATTTTGATTCTTAATCGAAGATAGATGTAGATGTCTATGGGCCACAGCAACCACTTACCATCAGGTGGACTGTGAGCTCGTTTGTCACACTTATCCTATAAAAAAAAATTAATATGCGCACTTTTTTATGAATCCTTGATAAGTAATTGTGAGATTTATGAATCGTGTCTTTTTTTAAAGAACAACTCACAAACGAACACACAGTCCATCTAATGGTAAGTGGATGCTGTGGTCCATAGACATCCACATTTATCCTCGCTTAAGAATCAAAACATAGCTGCGTTGTCACCTCTAAGGACTGAGATAGAATGTCTCGTTTCCAGTAAAAAGGGTCTCCGGTTCTCTACACTCACCATACGAATAACAGCAGCATTAAACTGCTATTTTACGCTGGTATTCTGTGAGAGCGTGGTCTTGCCCTGGTCGAGCCGACCCATTCGTGTTACTACCATAATATAGCTGGAGCGTGGCTCTACCACGCATAAATATTTAACAATTACCTAGGTAATTGTCAGATTTATAACGCCGCGAGTTTTTTCATGACTACTTTTGTAGCATTCATGAAAAAACAATAGTCATCCATCAATTACGACAATTACGATACTGTTAATAATTCAACTCACCTTCACTTCGCAACTTCAATGTCGACAAGTCTTAGAGCATAAATTATAATAGTGATCAAAACAAAGATGTTTTAACCAAGAGGTTACACAAATCATATTTTTTGCATATTGTTATTATCTATACAAATAAATAAAATCGAAGTGTCTGTTTGTAATGTCAAAATTACAGCTTTTTACTAATTGCATATGAAAGTATATACGGTACTTATAACAAAAACACATTTTTTTTTAATTTGTCTGTCTGTCTGTTTGTTATGGCTAATCTCCGAAACGGCTTGACCGATTTTGACGGGACTTTCACTGGCAGATAGCTGATTTCATAAGGAGTAACTTAGGCTACTTTTATTTTAGAAAAAGAATTAGGGTTCCGCGCAAAAACATAAAAACCCTAACACGCGAGTGAAGTCGCGGGGAACAGTTAGTAGTTCTATACATTTCTAAAAGTAGGTATTCTACACATTCGCACTGGTCAGTGATCTGTTGTCAAACTAATTAGCGATCCGCTCCGACTTCGCACGCTTGATTTCTGGATCTCAGCAACAACGCCACATACCGGGTCCAATAAATAGTGAATCTAAACCAATTTCTAATCAGCTTTAATCACACACAACAAAATTTTATCAAAATCGGTCCAGACGTTTAGGATTTGTCATATAGGACAGAAGAATTAGATGATATATGCGTGTATTATGCAGTATAAACCTTCCTCTTGAATCATTCTCTCTCTCTCTCTCTCTCTATATATATATATCACATGAAAACTGCATCAAAATCCGTTGCGTAGTTTAATCTAATAGCCAGCTCTTGGACTATAAGCGTACAGACGACGGGAAGCGACTTTGTTTTATACTATGTAGAGAAGTACCTAAATGTGTAATTAGGTTAGCTAAAGATTAAAGACATTTTAAACCTATTTTAAAAAGGAGGAGGTACTCAATTCCACTGTTTTTTTTTTACCTCATTTTTTCTAGGTGAACCGATTTCGACGATTCTTTTTTTATTTGAAAGGTGGCGCTTCTTATATGGTTTCATATAAATTTGATCAAGGTCTGACCTGTAGTTTTTGAGTTATCCTTAACAATTTATATTGAAGTTGGTTGTACAAATTTTTTTATTTTACCACCTGTGTATACAATGCATATTGACAATAGTAGGTATATACTATTAATACATATAAATAAAACTGAAGTGTTTGTGTAATATCGAAATACGAGTCTCATAATAAGGTCAGGTGGTAATTTCCATGCATGTTTATTTACATGAATAACCATTTTAACCGACTGCAAAAAGGAGGAGGTTCTCAATTACGCGTATGCTTTTTTGTATGTAAGTAACACGATTTCTTCGCAGATTTTGAACCAATTTTGATGTTTCTTTTTTCATTAAATAGGTTATACTTCAAGGGTGGCCCCATACAAATTTGGAGAAAACTTCCACACCTAAGGGTAGCACATAAATAACTACCTTTTTAGCAATTAGAAATCGGTTTTTACTTTTTCAACCGACTTCAAAAAAGGAGAAAGTTCTCAATTCAACTGTATTTTTTTTAGTGTGTTATCGCAGAATTATTTTCTAGGTGAACCGATTTTGATGATTCTTTTTTTTTTGAAAGCTAGTGCTTCTCATGTGGTTCCATATAAATTTGATCAAGATCTGACCAGTAGATTTTGAGTTACCTACATAGACTTCGACTACATTGACAATGTTCTTATTTTATTTATAAGTATTGAAGTCCGTTGTACAAAATTTTTAATTTAACCACTTGTGTTAAAATAGTATAATATACAATTATTAAATTTTTATCTGTCTGTCTATCCGGGCTAATCTTCGAAATGGCTGAATCAATTGTGACGAAACTATACGAACAAATAGAAAGTAATGCCAGAAAGAATTTAGGCTATATTATTTTATCAGAAAAATTGAACAATTTTCTTCTTATAAAATAATGTTTTTTTTTAATATATAAAATCGGGTGACAAACGAGCACATAGTCCACCTGATGGTAAGTAGATGCAGTGGCCCATAGAAATCTACATTTACCCTCAATTGAGAATTAAAATGCAAATGCGTTGTCACCCGTGAGGCCTAAGATGGAATGCCTCGTTTCCAGTAAAAAGGGTCTCCGGTTCTCTACACTCACCATACGAAACACAGGAGCATTAAACTGCTATTTTACACTGGTATTCTGTGGGTGAGTGGCCTTACCTCGGTCAAGCGAACCTATTTGTGCTTCAACCATGATATAGCTGCAGCATGGCTGTACCACATGTTATTGATAATGGTTATGAGATAAAAAAAAATTAGACAGAATGCCAAAAGGCATTAGTGTGATAGCATTAAAGTTTAAATGGCTCGACTACAGTTCTTACGGCCGCCACGATTTCGAAGGTTTGCATAGATCTCGACGAGATACGCCAAAAAGTAACAATAAAATTTTCAATATCTCGCTTAGTTTCCGAGATATCAATATCAAATTCTGGTGCCGTAAGAACCGTAGAATCCCCGTTTAAATAAATAAATATCTCCTATCTTAATATTATTCTTACCCAGATCTTTATATTAATTTAGAAGAAAATTTACTTTTACTGCTAAGGTAATAAGCATCCCACTCCCACACTTGTGCGCGCAAACATAATATGATCACATACAGACACAAGTCTAGCAAGTGTTGTTTATGAATATGGTTTCTGTACTCTTTGCCTTTGAGTGCACTATGACACCTCATAGTAATATGAATGTGGTTGTTACATTATTATATACTTCCAAAGCTAAAAAAATTTGATGTAATTGCTTAAATTATTATTTCCTTTATAAAATTTTGAAAGTCTTTGCCATTGGAAGCAAAATAATATTCTATAATATAAAAATGTGAGAAACTATTTTCTTTCATTCCAAGGTTAAAACTAAATGTATGAGTGGACAGTATGTAATGCTTTGTATTAAACATTAAGTACTTATGGAAGAAACAGAATATATAAGTTGAATAGATTAACATAATACACAATTAAATTACTTTAATGATGACAGCTTATTTGAATACTGAACTTTACACTTCAGTTACTGTTTAGTATCCAATACTAATCATTACTGTACAATTTAAAACAAATGGTAAAGTAAAAAAATTGTAGAACTTACTAATTATTAATTTGTAAGTTCTACAATTTTTTTTTTACTTTTTATTAATTGTAGAACAATATGAATAAAATGAAAATATCATCAATGTAGTCAAAGTAATTAAATAAACATTATTAAGGATAACTCAAAAACCACTGGTCAGATCTTGATCAAATTTGTATGGGATCACATGAGTCGAACCAGCATTCAAATAAAAAAAAAAAATCATCAAAATCGATTCACCTAGAAAAAGCTTGAGGTAACACACAAAAAAAAAATTACAGTTGAATTGAGAACCTCTGCCTATTTTTAAAGTTAAAAACATATATTTGAAGGGAAAAATTCTTAATCACTTTTTAGATAATGATTTCAGTAGAAAATGACATAACTATAGGGTTAGTCAATGGACAATATAACAAAAAATGGTTATGAAAGTTTGAAAAACAAGTTGGATAAATTGGTCCAAACAGATAAGATAACACATTGCACAAACACGGAGTAAGAAGAAATAAGAGTATTTATTTGCTTATTGTGGTATTTCATTTATCTCTAACTTCTACATGGAGATATTATATAGGTAAGAATTATGAAAAATTTATATTAGAAATAAGCGTTTTACCTTTCTTAACAGCTGCTTCAACTGCGCAAAGGCCGGTCACGCCAGTAGAACCAAAAATTACAATCTTCTTCATTTTCAGTTTTACCTATAAACCTGTAATGCACGAAGATTAAAAAATTTAGAACACGGATTTTAGACTTGATAAAAACAGGAGCACAAAATTCTGTTATGATTTTAACTTAAGAAGTACCATATAATATATTACATAAAAAATATGATAATTACTCCAACTATCAATACACCGAAAACTGGAAAGACTGGAAACACAGAGTACTTTTTATATACTGAAAACTGGAAATAAACTCTGAATGAAACTGAGCTCCAAACACTCAAAAGTCCAAAGACCTCTCTGGTGCCACCAACTTATCTGTTCAGTTGACAGTCGCTAGTGGAGTGCTTACTATTGCCATTTAAGAAATTCACCGACAAAATAGGTAACTACATATTCATTACACATAATATAAAATAAAACAAATTTCGTGTTAATATATTAACATTAGTGAGAATTAGTGTTATTATATATATTATTTATATTGTATAAAAATAATTGCTGTCGTGATCTCGGAGTTCAAGCGGCCGAATCCAGGAATTTCTGTTTTGAAAAATGTACCCGCATTAGCTACTGGTTCCAATAATTCATCTACTGAGTCACTAGTGATAGGACTCGAGCCGTGTTTCACTCGAGTAGCTTTTATTTCACTCGTACTCCAGTAATATTTACGACTACTCGGATTACGAGTGACTCGAGTCAACTCGACTGACTCGGACCACTCGAGTTGCCTGTACCGACTCGAGTGAGAAATTCAAGTTAAGAAAATTTTGCCAAAATACAAATTTTTACTTAATTTTAAATGGAAGATACGTCATCTTCCATTTTAAATTAAGTAAAAATTTGTATGTAATATAATAATGAATAAAATGCAATATATTTATTGAAGACTGTTTGCTATTAGTACGTGTTCGAAATGAGTGATAGATAGCCTTTTGTAAACAAATCAATTTATTTGTAAGTTGTGCAAGAAAGTTGTTTTTAACAGTGCTAGAGCCACGTGGCAGCTTTTGCTGTCGCACGGATGGGCCGGCCCGAACCGGGGTGGTACCACGACCTCACAGAATACCAGCGTGAAGTAGAGGTTTACCTCTGCGTTGCACTTGGTGAGTGCAGGTGGCCGGAGGCCCAATTCCCCCCCGTGGGTGCTCAGGCTGACCCGTGTATTCTGGGGGGGTGAGGGAGGGGGAAAAATTCCGCTCGCGACTAATACTGCTCGGGGCAATCGGGGCAATAACACCAAGGCGACCCCTGTCACGCTATCCTCTCCTCAGGTGTCCTCTCCGGCTGATAGCTCATATCTTTCCTACCCGGGGTACAAATTATAACACTCTTTTGTGCCCCGGGCTGGAGTTTGCGTATACGTCAGAGAGGACATCTGTTTTTGACGGCTCGGCAGTCTTGAATGTACGGACCTGTCCATCCTATGGCTGCACGTAGACAGCGTCAACCATCCCCGCGTCTACGGGTGCCTCTATAGGTCCCACAGCAGTAATGCCGACACAAACCGACTCATCGACCACGTCCAAATGGCTACAGACTCCGTGGTACAACAGGTCTCATCCGCAGAGATCATGATACTCGGTGATTTTAACGCCCACCACGCTGAATGGCTTGATTCTTGTTTAACCGATCATGCGGGTAGATTTGTCTATGACTGCCTTGGCATATGGTCTAACACAACTGGTTACTTCGCCTACGCGGATCCCAGATGTGGAGGATCCTGTACCTTTGTCAAGATATATTACTCACGTTATAACCTTAACAAATTATGGAAAACAATGGTGTTATTAGTTTATGATAGGCGAGTAACTCGAGTGAAAAAAGTCACTCGAGTTTTATCTTAATTCGGGTGGCATTCAAGTGACTATAAGGCTATCACTAGCGAGTGACTCGAGTGAAAAAATTTCGTCGTTACGTTCACACAACATTTTTCTATTTGATTTCGTTTTCTTATAAGGAAATCATATTTTATGAAGCAATTTTCGAAGAGTTTCACGTTCTGCTTTGAAATCAATATCTTTCTTTAAAATACTCAGTAATTTGGGTGTAGTAGGAAATTCGTGAATTTTTCTTCTTATAACACCAATGTCAAAAATATCAATTTCTTGTTTCCCAGTTTTTCTTTGCCTTTTTTTCAGGGGTAAAATTTCTAATTTTAGAATTCGATTCTTCAGCGTAATTCTTTTCATTGACGAGTTTGTGTACAAATCGCTCAGAAACAACTGTAACAAAACGACAAATAATTATTGCATGGGTAAAATTAAATAAATACAAGCCCGTGAATATGCCGTCACTAAAGCTATTTCACAGACCATAAACTACAAAGCTAGGTACTTTAGATGAAACAGTAAAAAATTACTGTTGTACTGTTTCATAGGTACATTATTTGGTGATTTTAATTTTCCATATCTGGCAATACTAACCTGTCGCGGCAGCAATGCGTTCATACTGGAGGTGGCCAAAGTGTATCATTTTTGCGATTGGAACATTTGCATCTCGATCACTGAAATGTTCCGAAACACTGATATGTTTCATTTGGCTCATTTGGATCATCTACTCAAAAAATATATAGTACAGAATGTTCCGAATACATTAAGTTGCGTCGGGGACGTTTATTACTGACTGAGTCAGTAAAATGTTATGGGGCAACAATGCTGAATAATATGAGTGCTTAGGTATTGTGTACCGTAAGAAGATTGGATATAAAATCAATCCTCCTTCATACTTTAACAAAAATGTCATTATGTCAATTCATTATTTACAAAAATGTCCATTTACATAAAACAACAATGTCTATGTATACAGAATTCTCTCGTAAAGTCTCATAACTCTAACTTTATGATGAAAAGGAAGAAAGTAAGTCACAATAATCACTACGTAAAGAAATCCTAAACAGAACTCAGTATATTTTCATAAACAGGCGCTAATGAACATAAACAACATAGATAAGCTAATATAATCGGGAGATAAACAATTTGACAAATGCCGCATCAACGTAAAATGACAACTTATTAGTGCAAACATTACATACAAAAAACGACCGTATAGTATTTGATACGTAAGCGCCTTAGTGATAATTTTTACGTGCATGAATAACGATAGCGAAAATCCGTACGAGTTGAGTGATACACTTCTTATTTGTTATCTCTATCTGACTTGTATGGATTATAATTATTTCGCCCGCTCACTCGTCACTCGCGAGTCAATAGTTAAGTAAATCATTGTCTCAATCTGTCTCTCTCGCTCGTGGCTCAGTCGCCTCGCAAGCGACTCATCTCGCAAAGAGCAAAGTAATGTTTCACTGTTTCAGATCCAAATGATACATTTGAAACGATGTTACTGAACCAATCTTTTGAATCACTTCGGTGATTCGGATCAGTGAGTCGGTTCCGTAAAGAGATACACACGCCTAGTTCATACAGCTCATCATACAGCTCAGGTCAGCTCCTGTATAGGACAGTTACTATACTCTTTGATGCAGCTTTTCAAATGGTATAATTGGGGCTTGCACACGTTTTTCTTCTTTATTAAAAGATAAAACTTTTAGGATCACTTTTAAGAGCTTTAGGCATTTTATTTACACTTTTTAAAAACACTCACCTGATAGCTTAGAATAAATAATAGCTGACAGCAAAATGTCATTTACAAAATGGCAGCTTTAGTTCCAATTTTGTCCACCTGAACAGATAAGTTGGTGGCACTATAAGTTACTAAGTTAAGTTACGTCTAGGAACTAGGAATACACTTAACTTATTATGTATATATAGGTATGGCATAGATTAATGATAAGTCATCGCGCGATCAGAGCGCGCGATGACTTATCATTAATCTACGAGGTATGATATGACCAAAGAGAATAGTAACTGTCATGTACAGGATATGACGTATATTACTATAGAACAGTTACTGTACTCTTTGATTACTATACTCTTTGATATGACGGTAGCATAATATCTGACATTTGTCAAACAGTGTTGTGTTGCCAACAGTTAAACTACCTCTCCACCAGATTCAACTTCTAAAACCACCGGAAAACCACTAACAAAAAGCTTCTATTAATACCTAAATTTTCCCACTAAACAAATTTTTTATTATGAATGAAACAATAGGTATAGTTATCTTGTATACAAGGTGCTTAGAAATGAAGCTGATTGTCCACAGCTTCTCGCCCAATTTAAATTTCACACTCCAATTAGAACTCTTCGCAAACCAATTACACTTCTTAATCCACCACGTCGTAGAACTGTTTTCGGTGCGCATTCGCCCGTCGCAAGGTATTGTAAAATTTTTAATGAATGTAGTGATTTAGTTGATGTTAATTTTGATTCGGCATATCAGTTTTATACGAATTTATGTAAGTACTTCAAACACTGCGAAAGTACAGATCGTGTACTTAATTGTTAATTACTATGTGTGTGTGCGTGTGTAGTGTAGTAGTAATTGTTAATTACCACACACACACACACACACACACACACACACACACACACACACACGCGCGCGCGCGCACACACGCACGCACACACACACACACGCGCGCACACACACACACACACACACACACACACACACACACACACATACACACACACACGGGCGTACACAATATCACATTGTCAAAAAAATTAAGGATTCTTTAGGTTTTGTAAATAATAGCATGCTGTTTGCATTAATAACATCACCTTTAAGTGATTGTACGTACTGTCCCTTAAAAGATGTAATAATGTATCAATCGTTGATAATCCTAATAATAAAAAAATCGAGTATATATTAATTAATGAACTGCTATTTTAAAGTAAATCCTCTTCCTCAGATGAATCATTTTTGTCGACACTATCATCGTCGGTTTCAGATTGATATGATTTTTTTAGTACCTGTAGTAGTAAATGCTTATCGGAATTTCAATTTAATTGCCGCATTTTCCTGCCAACTTCAAACAGCATTGTACACTTCATCATCATCATTACAGCCCTTCACAAGTCCACTGCTGAACATAGGCCTCCCCCAAAGAATGCCACAAA